AAATCTGCACCTGTGGCAAAAACAAGTGTTAAAGTGCGTCAATTTCTGATATATTTGTTTCTGCCGTGGCTCCGCTAGCCTTACCTGAAGGGTGTGTTGGATAGTCAGCAAAGTCCTAATGAAAGGAGGAAGCTGATTTCAGAAATGGAAGACGAAGCAAGTTTTGCACACAGGCAGCTATTCCCAGTCATGCCAGTACAACTCCAATTAGCCCGCATGGGAAACGATCGAGACGTCCAAAACATCTGGTCAATAGGACGTTTTAATTGCAGACATCAAAGAGCCAAGAATCATTGACCATAAAAAAAGAGAAGAAGCGCAAAGACAAACTGTGCTGCCTTTTTATGTCTGTATGTGTGCAGAAAAACAAATTGAATGTGTAATGAAGGTCCCTTGAGAGTACTTACCCTTATACAATTCTCATGGGTGCGAACTTACTTGATCACAAAAGTCACTTCTGATACAGGATCACAATCTTGTGAAAGCCAAATCAATTATTTGTAATAAAGCACATGTAAAAAAACAAAAAAAAACAATAAAAAAACAGAAGTTGATGCAAAGTGTTGTACGACAACAGGAAAGCTCAGAAAGTTTAATTTAAAGAAACACTGAATGAAATCAGCAAACATTAGAAGAAATGAGCTAATAAAAGATGGCAGCCATTAAAATTACAAGAGGAAAAGAACAACAATAGCATAAACAAAAGAAGGAAAATGACCTAACATGGAAGACTGTCTACACCTTGAGAGAGAGACATCTCTTCTCATACGGCCAGGGGAATTAGCTCAAGTGGTAGAGTGTTTACTAAGCATGCGCGAGGTAGCAGGATCGATTCCTGCATTCTCCAAGCAGAGACCTATCCTTTTACATTAACTTCCTTAACTAGACAGTCTGCGTTTTGATGCAATGTAGTCATGCTCCCTTCCTAAGCTTTTGGGGCTCACTGCTGACAAAAAGTTTTTCGAAGCGGGTCCTCTGTACATTCGTGGCAAAAGCAGGTCCCACCGAGATTTGAACTCGGATCGCTGGATTCAGAATCCAGAGTGCTAACCATATTACACCATGGAACATTGACAACAGTCACAATTGCTAACATTGCCGCAAAGACTAAATCAATAAGAGGGTCAGCAGCAGTACATCCAAACTTGTGCTTTTTTTGCTTTTCCTGCCGCAAGAAAGTACGCAGGTTCCACCAAGATTTGAACTCGTAGCGCTGGATTCAAAAGTCAGAGTCTTCACCATTACACCATGGAACCACCACTCTCTCAATGGCGGTCATTTGGAAGGCAGATAGTGTTGTGGCTATGGGGAGCCATTTAGACAGCGGGGTTGGTTCACAGTGAGTTTTGGTCACAGGCCCACGTCAACCAAAAGTCGACGACAGGGAGCATCTGCCGAAACCCGGAATGGAACCAGGAAACTTTAGATCTTCAGTTTAACGCTCCCCCAACTGAGCAATTTCAGCCACATAAGCCCATGGTCTACCCAGCAGGGATTTCAATAAGACCACCCGTCACTTTGCGAGAAGAGCAGAGCTGACATCCCAGAGAACAAAAGAGGCCGGCCCGCAGGGGGACCGAACCCCCGACCTTGGCGTTATTAGCACCAAGCTCTAACCAACTGAGCTAACCAGCCTGGTTCTGACTGGACTTCTTAGCAATTTGCCAAAAATTTCCTTATAGCCTATGACACTAAAGAGACAGAAGAGCTTCAGGACCAAGCCTCACCACAGGCTCATCTAGGATTTGCAGCATGGACATCTCGCACCCAAAGCAAGAATAATAACCCTAGACGAACACGCCAGCTCGCTCGGCCATTGATCCGCTGCCTAGCCACGGG